CTCCCCCCCCCACCTCCTGCCCTACCCCCTCCTCTCTCTCCTCCTCTACCCCCTCCTCTCTCTCCTCCTCTACCCCCTCCCCGAGCTGAACATATTGGTAAAAAGAAAGGCAAAACAGTCACGGCGAAAATGTAGTCTCTAGGCCTCAGTTTCTACATATTCCACACGGACAGATACAAAGTGCGGGCAGCGGAACAAACGGCTGCCGACCGTTCCCGACATCTACCTGTCCTTTCTGTCACTTATCAATTGAATCAAGGTCAATACCTGCGCCAGCGATGGGCTTTAACGGAACAGAATAGACTGAGATCCCCGGCTCGAGGACGGCGCCATCTGTTAACAGACTCGTTCAAGCAACTGTCGATCGGCTCCAGCCCGAATAAGGGAGGAAGTTTGATCTCCGAGCCATCGATTGCTGACCTCCAAGTCTGTTCAGCGTGGTCTGCTGTTGGTAAAGTTTACAACCATCTCTGTTTCCATCAATGGGCAATATTACTAAGCTTACAGAGCAATGAGCGATGTTTATACAGTTATTAAAATTGAAAAGAAAGGAGGATTAGCTCATACAGTGTTGTTTTTGTTTTAAGTTGTGCTGGAACTGAAAAAGATATTCCGCATACAAAAGAGAATAAATCGCTTTGGAAAATCTACACTAATAACTCTGGTACTTGCAGCAGCTGAGCCGCGTGACTGGAAGCAGTGCAATAGCTGTTTCAAACATCATGAATTAATTTTTTTTCTTTGCCAAGGATTTGCCCTAGCGCGTAAAATTGGGCAATGATATTTCTTCGTTAAATATTTCTTGGTGTCAAAATTTTACTTTTACGAGTCGTGGAATAGTGAGGTATATGCGCGTTAGCATTTTTAAAACTTAATAACGACTATTTTGTAAATATAAAACCCAGAAATGGTCATACCCAGTAATATAGGTGGCTATGGGAAAGTTGAACTTTTTTTTAACACTCCGGTACGTCATCAGAAACATATTTAACGTCCTGGAAAAGTGGAAAGCTATAATTGTTACAGGGAATTTTCTCATCGAATGGTGTCCATCATTTGTATTGTAAATTAATGTATTTATGCAGTAACTTCCAAACTAATTAAAATAACTACTCATCATAAAACCTCATGTGTTTATGTGCACTTAAAACAATAAAAGGAAACAATAAAAAATCTTATAGTGCAATTTACACCTACTAAATAAAGAAACAATTGCACATAAAACTGTGACTCGTGGATTAAAATGATGTTTAAATAGAAGTTACAGACATATGAAAATAAAATTTATTTATCAAATTATCAAATACTAACAGATTAGTTAGCGTTATAGAATGAGCCAATTTATGCCTTAAATAACTTCAGTGAAACGCGCAGGAATTTATGAAAAGTATATTTTAGTGTTTGTCATACAATAAAAGCAATTATTTTGCATAATTTTAAACCAAAATCGCAATCGAAACGAAGTTGTGCTATCGCATACGACAGTTTTTTTTATTGTGATACCTCTGCATTTTCACAATCTTTCATTTCGTGCCCATTAACATTCTTTTTCTTATTCAACAAATTTAACAACTATTTGTATTTTATTTGTGACGTACCGAGGAGAACTGATGCGAATTAAAACGTAATGTTTCATGTATCTGCATGTTATCCGCGGAGTGCGTAAAAAGATCTGATAAATTGTGCTACGTGTTTGTTACAGTCTGAACAGTGTTATTCTGTGAAGTGCAGAACATCCATAAAATTATGAAGGAAATTCTGAAGAAGGGTCACTGGAGCCAAACGTAACCCCATTTCTCCGTCTTCCGATGCTGCCAGACTTGCTGAATTCCCTAGAAATTCCTGTTTTTGTTTCAGATTTTCACCATCTTCAGTTATTTGCTTTATTCATCCATAAGATTGTATTCGTCAGTTGACAGTTCAACTAGTTGTAAACTTTGATTTCTTTCAAACTATCCAGAATTGCAGGATTTATGTAAACATTACCGAATAGAAATTGCATCGTTTTTTTTAGTCAAACAAATTTGTGAACTTGTTTTTTTAGGCATAGGGCATTAAAACATTTGATCTCCACATCAGTGTTAAGACGATGATCGCCCGTTCCCTCTGGTCTTGTTTCTTATTAATTAAAATTACAGGCAAAAATTAACATATCGGCCTTTTCAGAATGAGTAACACGGAATATGTTTAAATAAATGCTATCTTATTGCAACGTTCAACAAAATATCAGTCCCAAACAATCAGAAAATGCATCTGAAGAGATATAGCACAGTTATGTTTACAACTAGGATCTAGTGTCATCTTTGCAATAATTCGATGCATTTTCTACAAAGGGTCGAGGTTTGTTATTTACAAATATTAAGTTGATGAAGAATGTGACAGAATTGCAGGTAATCGATCCAATTGAGATACAACGTAAATAGGTAACTTGTTGGATCAATAGTGCACATTGTTCATCTTCCAACCGTCATGAAGTATTTGAAAACTATGATACTGCAAGCTAAATTACTTAAGGTTCAATCACCTACGCATGGGATTGTCGGTATTTAAGCGGAAAAAAAGCTGCATAAACTATCTTTACAAGTGTTAGAGCCAGCGACTTATTCTTCAATACTTCAAAAATATCTAACGTTTCAAATTGTGCACAAAGAGAAGGTATTGGACAAAGATAAAGCTCGGCTCTTAACCTTCCTTTTTGCATGATCAATTTTGTACTTTCTGTGAAGTAGCGGAAAGTATAGACACTATATACAACACACAAAACATCTCCTCACACGTTGCACAGGCCAGTGGATGTCTGTATAATGTGTACCCTTTTCGCAAAAATTCTACATCAAAAAATGTTTCCACACGCTTCTTCCCCACGTTATCAGGTGCGATACCTGCCAACTGATGATTTAAAATACCTTCAAGAAAACAGCGACTGAAGTGATGCATTTACTTTTTTGTCCATTTCCGTTTCCAGCAACAATAAAGAAACGTGACCACATTTGTATTATTTAGCATGTAAGTATTCATTTAATTTAAATTAGCGATGAAAATGACTACGAAGCATTTAACGTAAACCTGACACGATTCAGGACAAAACGATGAACAGATTATCAAGTATTATATATGCATTTTTGAAAGTGTTCCATAAGTGTGCTTGTATTGTGTAAACATCTGTTGTTAACCATTGTGTAAGCTGTAAATAACATGTTGATTTACCATAAGCAAATCAAAAGTTTACCTGATTTTAGCGTGCTTTGGTGTTGTAATGTCGCCGGCTTTAGGGACGATCCAGTCACCGCGCTCTCCGATGTGTCATTCCTCTTGGCCCCACCCCGGTGCCATCCCAGCTCCCCCGTGTTTAGCTAAGTAATAACAATAGCAGTAATACTCGCTAATTAAATTAATTACGAATGCTTGTCAGTGGTGGATTAATGGCCAATAGCAGCCGCTAGGTATGAGTTGCAGCCCAGGGGCTGATGATAACTGTGTTCCAGGAGTGGGGACACATCAAGACTACAAGGGGAGGTAATTGCTGAGTACAAGGGCGCAGCTGGGCAAGCATTGCAAAGTATAAATAGTCCGACTTCAATAGCACATCAGTACTAGATCTGCATCTCCGAGCAACCGAATTCTGGAAGATCAGGTTTGCATTTCAACTCCAAGACGACGTACCACAGATAAACATTGCACGGTTGATGTATTGGAGAGAATAAGAACAGACAAGGACATATTCCTCTGAACAGCTATGGAAGAACTTACAGCTTTTGTTTCGAAGTCTTTTGATCAGAAGGTGAAAGAAAAGAAGGATGGGATCACGTATCGAGAAGTTCTGGAGAGCGGGCCTGTCCGAGCTCGAGAGCCGAGTCTGAGTGAAGGCAGCCGGGATGAAATGATCAGCGCACAGCGTGGGGCGTCTCGATCCCCGAGCAGTGAGCCAGAGATCGGGCCAGAAAGACCGCGAGACAGCGGTACACCGAAACTGACCGATCCGGGTAAATCAAGTCTCATACTTGTACACGCAGTAGTTAGAGTGTCTTTAGATGGCCCGCGCGGTGCGATGTCAATATGTGGACTTACTTATTATTTTCCACGATATGAACCTTGTTCTTAAATTCAAAGAATATGAGCAAATTACAGAGCGTTGTTAACGGACTCATTTAAAAGTCAGTGGTTCTTTTTACAACTCAAGTACAGTAAATCATAGTAACTACATACGATTGGTGTTTAATTACGCTACAATCAATGATTTAAATAAAACAGAGTGGAAGTTGTATTTGATAAGCAATGTGTCCGCGATAATACCCAGAGAACAGCGTGTTTACAGAAAGATTCGGTGACGCATGCAGGTCAATCAAATATCAATTATTGCGAAAAACTTAATGGCTTCTTCTGGTTTCTGTTTTTAAAGGATGTGTAATTCTGCTTAACATCGGTTTTAAACAGATTTGATTTGGTTATACCGAAAATAACATCACGGTTGTGGTTTAGCAAAGAAACATTTTAACGCCAGTTGCAATGCATTTTTTTTTAATAGACGTTTACCGATAGGTAGATGACAATGACGGCACTGATCTTGTTCATATGTTTAGAGTCCATGCTGTACAACTAAGTTTCCCCCCCCCCCCCCCCCCCCAACCCAGTTGCTGAAATAGGAATACAATGCCAAATCATCCTCCAGAAATGATATAATAAACAAATCCTGTCACTTTATATAGGCCGCCATTTCGAAGGGGACTTATTAAACAATCGTTACCATCATAGTATTTATGTAGACTATATTGCACATCACAGAATATTGTCAATTTGTGGATGCTAAACTTACTGCCGAACGCTATTACAGCGATGTAAATACAGTGCTCACTAAGCTCCCTAAATACATCCACTTCATTAATCATTTTGCGTTATTTTCTTCAGTAAATTAATTTACGATAATAAATGAGATTCTCATGGTTAAATAAAACGAATCAGCTCTCCTTAATACAATCAATGTCATTACATTTTAGGTACAGACAATGTTTTCAAACAACAATTTTGCTCGTTTTTTTTTCTCCTTTTATCTGACTTCTCAATACTTTGAAGCAACAACAAAAAATGGTGATTGCTTTCCCGTGCGAGGTGTAATGTTTTTGCACTTTAACGTTATCCGTAATGTATGGCACAGTTTATTTCTCATCACTGTTTTAATGTGCACTTGTAGTTGACAGATGTTGGCCCACTTAAAAAAGCGTACTATTCATTCAAACAATAATCATGATAATGGCACCGGTGAGCAAGTTTCCGGAGCTTCAGGCAACAAAGCGCATTAATGCTTATGTCACTGTACAGTACCTTATGTGGAGACTTAACGTGAGCGTTGTATTTTTAGTTCTCTGAAAAATGCGAACACCTCAGAAACCCGAACAAAGATCGCTCTAATACAAAGTGTCCTGGCTGAAAATGCGACGTCCAAAATAGGCTCTGAATACTATGTAACCTGGTTAATCTATGTGTTGTACCAAAGTATTCGAACTTGAACTCGCTGCGTATTGGGGCACTGTTTATGCACTTCGTAAAACAAAAACACACGATCAAACCTAAACCTCGCAATGTTTGTTCAGCTTGAATGTAACAAATTCTGCAACATAATTTGTAAACATAGCAGTTCAGCTGTTCAAAATTGGTCCTTTGTCACAAACTACCGCAATTTGTAGCTTTTGACTCTTGTTGACAAATTACGGGAGTGAGCAAGCTAAAGAAGCTGTAAAGTAAATTTCTAACAATGCATTTAGAATATCTAAATTTGTTTAAAGAAAATAACAAATGGACTGCATCAAGTTATTTCAATCAGCGATAAATACATCTGTAATACTCAAAGGTGCTGTCTATTGTTATATTAAGGATAATGTGGCCGACGCTGTGAGCATCGAAGTTTATTATTAGGTTAATGTATACTATTAGAAGGAAATTATGAAAGCAAAAGATTAACTTGAACAATGATCAGTCGCCTGGGACAAAACACTTCAAAAACAACTGAATGATGAGCTTTCTTTTAAGGATTAAACATTGACATGTGGAGACAGTAAAAGCTGTATATAATTCAGCAAAAAGTGCACTGGAAAAGGCAGAAGTTAGTCTACGTTTAAAATTAACGTTGTAACGTAATTACAATGGAGGCAACTTGTTTTTAATTTCATTTACCTGGTAACTTTTTATATGCTCGGTCCAAGACATTCTTGCCGATATCTGGACCTTAAACGTTTGTGTAATTAGAGCGTTTGATGGTCATTTATAGGAAGCGTTGATATTAAAGACAGAAAAGAAGACGCCAAACCAGTGGAAGAAGAAGCGCAGACAAAAATTAAACAACGGCGAAGTCGGACTAACTTCACACTGGAGCAGCTAAACGAGCTGGAAAGATTGTTCGATGAAACCCATTATCCGGATGCATTTATGAGAGAAGAGCTGAGTCAGAGGCTGGGGCTCTCAGAAGCCAGAGTGCAAGTAAGGCAAATATACATTATGATACAAGCATCTGGTACATTAGAATATAGCAAAAATAAATAGCATAACGTTTTGATTTACTGGGTGATCTTATTATTTATTTTTAAGCTAACGTATTGGGTTGCAGATAACAAGGTGTAGAGCTGGATGAACACAGCAGGCCAAACAGCATCAGAGGAGCAGGAAGGCTGACGTTTCGGGCCTAGACCCTTCCTTAGTTGTACTTCTGTTAGAAGTAATTCAGTTCTGTATATAATCAAGTATAAGTGCAAAGGAAACAAATTAAAACATCTACACAACAGGTTCAGCCTACGAATAAAATGATTTATGTTTACGTAAATAATCCTTCAGATGTTGAAACTGTATACCGCTGTGATGAATTAAATAGGTTTGTGCCGTAAGAAGTGATAATTAATTTACTGGAAGTTTCGGAGAAGTTGTGGTTGATAGGCCAGCGGCAGCTGCAGCTGCTATTGGGAAATTGCTAGCATGCGCCCTCTGTTACAGTACCATCTGCATCAAGCTGTATAGTATTCTTAGGGGGGTTTCCAGCTTGTAATACGATAACGAGGTAAACTTAGCAGCAACTTGACCTGAACAAATCGACCAGCGTTCAAAACCATCAAACAGACCTGCAAAAGAAAAAGGTTGCTGCGTCAAGAACCGTGGGGGTGGGGGGTAGAGGGGGTGGAGAGAGAGGGGTGTGAGATACTTATTTTTGTGATCGCTTTGCGTATTCTTTATGGTTTCTCTGTACACAATAAGATTACATTTTTTTCTTCAAATTCCTGTTTGACTTGTGCTCAGCATGGATGACTTTGCATTATCGCATCGGAAAGGCGAGGACAAACTTCACCGTGTAGTAATACAAATCCTAAGCAGTCTTTGTGACGAATATTTGAACTGAGTTTTTTGTTATATGGAATGCTATATTGATGTGTATTAGTTTCTATACAAAGTCTTCCTGTCTTTAATATTTATTATACATTCAGCATTGAAAACTACATATTTCAAACAATATTATTTCAAAATGCACCATAACTATTGTAGCATTGCAATAATTCGTCTTCAACAACTTTCTCTGTTACCAATTCCAATTGTCGAAAACAATTCTACATAGTGGTGTAAAGTAATGGTTTATACATTGCCAAGATGAACTATATCTTGCTGACAATCTGTGCGCTTTTAAATGCAATCCTGATTGGTTCTCTGATGTTAACAAAACCTATTCCCAAATGTGCGTGTTGAAAATCTGAAAACATCTTATGGAGATAGGATGTTGATACAGTAATCATTGGAGAGACAATCAGAGCTACATTTAACTGCTTTGTAAGGTCATTTTAGTACCCACGGTATGATTTTATTTGCCATTTTGTCACGTCAATAAAATATTGTATTAAGAATCACTGGAATACAATAGATCAAAGGTTTTCATAAGATTGAGTATTTTTCATAGACGTTAAATTATACTCGTTTTTTTTAATTGAACGGTATATTAAACAAATAATCTGTTTGGTAACAAAACAGTGCATTGTGATTTGAAGATGAAAAACGAAGTTCAATTTGATCGAAAGTAAATTTGGTATCCCAGTTCCAAAACGCATCAAAGTTTTTTTTTCTGCTAGAGTATGATTCTGGAAAACTTCTTCATGTGATGGTACTTGCAGATAGAAAGGATTTGAAATCGTACATGCATAATTTAACACCAGACTTTCATTTGAGAATTGCAAAGCAGCTTAACATATTAATGTGGTATTTATTGTATGGGTTTTAATCTGTGTCCTTGTGAGCATAATATTGCCTTGCAAAAATCAACAAAGGAATAAACATTCGATTATATATAGATAGATATATTAACCTTGAATAATGCTAATTACCAGGTATCGATATCCTTTAGTATCAGGACAACATTTTTATTTTGCTTACAGACACAGTACTTTTATTTTAGTTTGCTAATGAGCTGAATCTTATTGGACGGAGCTCATTCTCAAATGTCAGGGCCATTATCGCTGTAATATTGGGTATCAAAGTGTATCTAGTTCTTCTGGGATGACAACCTACATTAGAAATGAAACGGGACATAAAACAAATTTCTCATGAACCAGGAAAAAGCAAGAAAAAACAAGATTATGCATATTTTCGGTCGTTTGCACCATTGTTTCTTTCCGAAGAGGCTGCCATGCATCGTGCATACAAGGGTCGGATAATTAAAATAAACGAGGTCAATCACATTAATAATTAATAAGTCCGACGGGATATTGCATCGCATAGTTGTCAGTTTGAACAGTCCAACTCGTACATCTGAGATGCAACTGCCAATCATTGCCACTAAATTTCTTCGTTTTTGCCCTATAGGTATGGTTTCAGAACAGAAGAGCAAAATGTCGAAAACAAGAGAATCAACTTCATAAAGGTATGCTTGTTAATTTACAGATCTGGCGTGGTAACGTTATTAATAGCAATCCACATGCAGTTTAATGCACTGATGTAAAATTTAAACGTGCTATGTCTTCCACCAAGGTTATAAGCCAACAATAAAAGAGTCAAACTTTAGTCTGGATTTGGGGGCGAAGGGACGGGATATGGAAAGGGATTGGGGTGGGGGAGTGGAATTGGATAGTGGAACAAAAATAGTAAACACTAGTCATTTATTCACTCATTCGTTGATTATGCATACACTGTGTAGCAGGACTTTGAGCAGAATTATGATGTTTTCCATCAGTATAATGTCGTTGTATCCGAAGTCACAAAAATTAATTAAGATTAGTGGCTCCAGACCGTGACGCAAGAACTTTTCCTTACATTTGAACTTGCTTTTTCTACTGCAGGTGTACTCATTGGTACCACCAGTCAGTTAGAAGCTTGTCGAGTGGCACCATACGTTAATGTGGGAGCCTTGAGAATGCCATTTCAACAGGCAAGTATAAATCCATCAAAGTTTATTGCGTACAATCTCCGTTGGGGAAGATGCACGATCTTTTAACGCTGCTTTAACGAAACTTGTTTTGGAAATAAAATTTGACTAATTATTTAAAGCTATCATCTTCCTTATTCTAAGCAGTTCTGTTCATACTATCGCTAACACGATATTGATAATGTATACATGGTATCAATACCTGTCCTTGCACGTCGGCCCCAAAATTAACATGTATTAAATGACCATTGAGAGGGAGCTAAACCAATGAGGTTTTCCGATCTGTTCGGGGATTTTTTTTCGGTTCAGTCGCCATTTTCCATGAGTTGTATTTGATTATCGCCTAACTGTCCGTGTTATATGGCGTGTTCTGCCATTTTATCAGTAAAAGCTGCTAATACTGATACATGCTTAGTGTAGTACGAAGTGTTTTTAAATGTCTGAACTCTTCACCAATCGTCGAGCAACTGCTGTATTCCTTACTTATGAGATTACCATCCTGCTCCAGGGACTCCCATTATCGCAGAACAACCTGTTTTTGCGTATGCATTTTCGTCCATGATTTAGATTTGAACAACATTACACTTTAGAATTGCCCTTTGTGTCGACTTTCAAATGCTTGACCAATTGAAACGGAATTTTAATCATTTGCAAACATCTAACTGTATATTTTACATACGACTTCTGTGTTACTTTGTATCCTTCATTGACAATTTGAGTTTTAAATTCATTCATAGGATGTTCACATCGCTGGCTATGCCAGAACGTATTGCCCAATCCCTGTTTGCCGTTGAGACGGCGGTGGTGAGCTGTCGTCTTGAACTCCTGGAATCCATTTGGTGTAGGTAGACCCACAACGCCCTCAGTGAGGCAATTCCAGGATTTTGACCCAGCGACACGTGAGGAAATGTGTATCTCCAAGTCGGAGTAGTGAGTGGCTTGGAGGGGGACTTGCAGGGGTTGTTCCCACGTACTTGTTGTCCTCGTCCTTCGAGATGGAAGTGGTGACGTGTTGGGAATGTGCTGTCCAAAGAGCTTTAGTGAATTTCTGCAGTGCATCAATATCACCATATTAACATAGTTAATCTCCCAAAAGGCATCAACCTGTTTATTTTCATGCACAACTTTTAGCCTTCTATTAAATAAGGTGGCAGAAATGTTAACAGGCTTTCACCTACGCTGGCAACCCCGGGAGATTTCGACCAGGTGATTTCTACACGTTTGAACCTGCACCTGTTTTTGCAGGTTACCTTGACTTTACAGCGTAGCCGTAAGTCAACACGTGCGCTTTCAAGCAGCATGCATTTTACTTGATGCAAATCGGAAGTAAATCCAGACGTAACATCCCTACCTGACATTTATATGATTTGGGAGATTTCTACTTCATATGGCTCAAGATCACATAGTTCACTTATCCACTTAGCCTGGCTAATGTTGATTTCATGTTCATTAGTTCAACGCTGATTCTGAATATTGATTTACATCTCTTTTGAATGATCTTCCTCAACAGTCACAGATTATGACAGACTATGTCTTGAAACTTTGTCAACTTTCTTTTTGTTCATTGTGTTATCTTCCCTCGATATTTTGCTGGTTGAATTAAGAATGTTATTCTCTCATCCCTTAAGGTCTTGTGAAGTGATTACTCAACAAATTTTAATTCCCTCAGCTATCCATTGCACGAGTTGGGAGAAAGTGAAATGGACCGGCCGCGCAGGGAGGGGAGGGGACGTGGGGACGCGGGTGGGGAGACGCCCCTAAAGTGGTCGAAATGCCAGGCATTTTTTGTTTCTCAACAACGTAAGGAACACTGCAACGAAAATCTAAATTCCGGTGTTGTCTCTCTTTCCTCTCCAACCCCTTTTAAAATCGAGATTTCTAAATGCTTTTCAAATACTTTACTGACTTCAGCGAACTTCCACATTTTTTTTTCGTCATGGTGTGGCAGGGCAAAGTGTTGTTTCAAGTGGCACTTTCATACTTTGTGGACTCTGCTCCATTTTTGGTTAGAGCTGTCTGCATGGTGACGCGCCCTGGAGTACACAATTTGTTGCTTTCCAGGGAATGTGCTTTGGCTGACTGGCGTCTTTATCACTTGGGAGCCAAAGTGTTCACCATTCTTGGAAACAATGGAGTCTAACTGCTGTATATTGGTAAGGCAATCTGTTTTCCACAGCCTGCGACCCCACTATATTGTCCGTTCGATGACTGTGTTCAAGTGGGAGAACCGCCAATTGCGGGGGAAATGCCGTATTCAATGAACCACTTTCACTGTCCTTTTCAGTCCCTCAGAAGCAATGGTTTAAAACTCTTGTATTACTCTTTGTGGTTTCACGCGTTGGAAGAAATAAGAGTCCAGTAACCAGACAGTCTTGGATATATGTACAATATTTGTAGTGGTGCCCCCAGCTTGCTGGATGCAGCATTGGAGAGCAGGCACTGGACAAACTCTGCTTAACCCTTTTATTTCCTTCTCTATTGATCAATGCACCAACACCATTCAATAACGTTCTCGCTTTTTAATATTTATTACCACTGTCTTTTTTTTTGACGACAGGGTATCTTTGTAACAATGTTCTCTCCTTATTCTGTTTTAGGAGAATCACTGCAACATGACTCCCTTGTCCTTTCAGGTCCAGGCGCAGCTGCAGTTGGACAGCGTGGCGCATGCGCACCACCACCTCCACCCGCACCTGGCTGCACATGCGCCCTATATGATGTTCCCTCCACCGCCCTTTGGTTTGCCCCTTGCCACCTTGGCAGAATCCGCCACGGTGGTGGCAGCGGCAGCAGCAGCCAAAACCACCAGTAAAAACTCCAGCATTGCAGACTTGAGACTTAAAGCGAAAAAACACGCTGCAGCACTAGGCCTGTGATCTGAACAGTGATTCCAAATACACAGATCTTTCGAAACAAAAGCCTCCGAAGGAGGAAGGACTCGCAGCTGGGAAAAGTTCAGAAGTGAGCTTTCTGCAAATCCATTTTAGCACAACTTTACTTGATACACCCGGGGGCTGGTCTCCTATAGCATAATGGAAATTCCTGACGTATGCTTTTGCTTCCCATAAACCACTGGAATAATTATTCAGAGATGGAAAATGGATCGCTAATCTGCCATGAACCGTTTATGAGAGTCAAGAGTGAACAATCAAATGAAATACGAAGAATTACACTTGCATGTATATTTATACTATTTTCAATGATGCTTATGTCCTTTGAGTCAGAATTGCACTTGGTTTATGTTAGATGGAACAAACCATTGCTTTTACAAGTGTGGAGAGGAAAAAATAGTTTTAACGGTTCTCATTTTAGATTTTCATGTGTACTATTTTCTTCTTCCAGTAACATAAGTAATGGATAATTATAACTATTCTACCTAGATGTCCATTTGTTTTAGATCAAAAAGATATAAATTATGTATTCTACATTCTTACCGTACTGAACTCTTATCGTTTAAACCATAAGATAAGGTACGGCCCTCTGTAAAAAAAAATGTTGATACACGAACAAAGTTTATTTTGTTTAAAATTGTGTACGGCTGATAGACTGTCAGTATTTAATTTTTATTTCATAGAAGTGTGTTTATTCATAAATATTTCTCTTGTGCTGTTGTGGGAATTTATTTCACATAGATGTTTATGGGATGTATTTCAATGAGGTGTTGGTTTCATTGAAACCTTGATTCAATCAATGAAGATCAGAATTTGAAGAGCCCATTGTGAAGGGATATTGCTCAGAGTAATACCGCCTTTCCCCACCGTCATGGTAGACCTTGAAAACAAAGATGTTTTTGCAGTTCGTAGATGCTGCGCCCTTCTAGGATTATTTATAATAAAATGAACAGACTATTTGTACAAGTGTTCAACAATGACTCTAAAATGAAACAAAACCTTCGCTGTTGTACAGTTCTATGGTTTAATGTCAATGCAATTAATTTGAATGAAATTAATTAACGAAAAGCAACTGATATCGATCTGATGTTGCATTTATTGCAACAAGTGCCAAGGAAGAGTGAAATGGTTTTATATATATTTAATTAAAATATGTTGAATTCATCATCGTTTTTCTTTTATACCTTCCTGAACACGACTTTCAAATTTGAGGTTGCGTGGTTAAATTTTGTACATGGCTTGTTTGTGTTCAAGAACATGAAGATATTTTTGGATTCACTGTAGCAGCCTAAATAAGAAGGCTTATCCTTTTAACTGATGTTGTTCTCCTTTACACTTTTGTTATGGCATTTTCGTTTTATTGCTATTTTTAGGTACAAAAGGCAGGGAAACGTCACAAGCTGCAAAATTCGTCAGTGACGCATGTACACTGATATGTATCAAACGTTGCCGTGGTTTTATACTGATTAGTATGTAAGACTGTTCTCTTAGACTATAGTGAGAGTACTACAGTATTATAATATGTTAAACTAATGTGAACGTTACTTTCATTCCTCGTTGGTTGTACTTCTCGAAAGTAATATGCAGTTCAAAAATGCTGAAGGATAAGTACACGGAACAGCAAAAACTGATCATTAAATTGTCACATCGCTGCACAACATCAAATGATCTGGGAAGGACAGACAAAAAGAAAATAGAAAATCTACCACTCATATACAGCCTATTGGTTGGGTTTATTTTAGCGCATTTTAATAAGAAATTGCAGTTATAAACTTTTATACTGGTATTAAAAAAACCCGGGTGAAGTAATTCTTACCTCAGGGTAATTATTACGAATGAAGAATAGAACTAAATCAGTTAAATTTGCCACACGAAAGTTTCGTTTAAAAAATGCCGTGAACGAGACTTTCACACAAACTATATCTGGCATTCTTGGAGTGAGCTCTTAACACTTCATCTTGAAAATTAGTAATTATTAAGTAATAAACTGCTCAATTCCAGATGTTCCAACCTCAATTCTTTCGGTGCCAAACACTCCGAAAAGTAGAAAATTCCACTCTATTCAACAAACAAGGCGTACACGAGGCCCATTGACTTAGCGCGGATGTGCACACTGACCGTACCTGTAAGGTGAAAAGAGCTGTCTGTTCACTTGACAGTTACTGGAATTCGTCAGCTACTCAGCTCATTGTGGGAGGGAACAGGTGTTCAGGTGATGCACCTCACTAAGAGCACATAACATGCAAAATTAATCTCCAGCCACGTACTAGTAAGACTTTATATTATAAAGTGTTCCGTTTGCAAAACTCACTTCACTCGCTGTGTGAGCGCAGGGGAGACAGGAACTGCTGTTTAACATGGAGACAAGAAACATTTCGGAAAGCAGAATACTCGCTGAACCACTGCAAGCTTTCGGTTCCAGAGGCCTCGGGGAGAGGAGACCGCAGCAGCTGGAGACGCACAGCGACCGCTGGGCCACCGAGCTGCCCGGAGCAGGGGAAACTGGTAAGGGATTCTGCCCTGACTTTTTACTTGCTCTGCAGCCTCTTTCTAGCGGCACCCTGCTTTGTTTACTGAAGCTCAACTCCGCAGCCAGTTCCATTCAAGTTTGTTATGACATTTTGTTTTGAAGTTGCCATGGTGCCGATTTGGCTGGAAGGCAATGCGTGTATTTCAAACTTGCTAAAATCGGCGTTAACAGGGCGATTACACCTCCCCCCACGTGGTTTTGGTGGATTTTTCACCCGGTTAACATCGATTTCAGTCGCTGGGATGATCTACCAAAACCTTTTTGTTTCAGGCGATTGATTTCTTTTAATATGCATTTCACCACCTTCACTGTTGGGAACTTGGACCGCTTCTCTTTAGACACATCATTCTGGGGATATGATTACTTGACAATGGTTTGAATTTCTTGCCCTTTGCCAATGTCCTGACCAGCTGGTACTCTTGAAGCAATGCCATCTGTTTGATGAAGATGTCCACATGCAGTGCATGGTGGTGAGTGCCACATTTTGATGAAGGAATGGTATATATCCAAGTCAGGATGGCCTGTGACTTGAAGAGGAACTTGCTGTGATAGTGTTGCTATTGCAAGTCTTGCCCTTATTTATTCTTCAAAGTGGTAAAAGTTGTTGGTTTGGCCCAAGCTGCTGAAGATGCTTTGATTGAAATGCATGATGTATTTGGACCAATGAATGGTGTACATCATGAAAACTACATTAACCTGGACAGTTCAAGTTTCTTGATTTGATTTTGATTTTATTGTCATGAGTACTGAAATACAGTGAAAAGCTTTGTTTATGAGCGGTACAGGCAGATCACATCAAGCAAAGGATGTACCGATCAAAAAGACTTAGAGGCATACAGGTTACATTGCAGGTTACATTATTTGAGGCTAGAGTCCATTCAACAGTCTGATAACAACCAGAAAGGGGCTGTTTCCGAACTTGCTTGTGCATGTGTTCAGGCTTCTGTATTTTCTGCCTGATCGAATAGGTTGTAGGAGGTCATTATCAGGGTGCGATGGGTCTTTGATGATGTTGGCCTCCTTTCCATGGTCGCGGGCTATGTAAATAGAGTCCTTGGATGGAAGGTTGGTTTCTGTAATGGTCTGGGCTGTGCACACCACCTTCTGTAGTTTCTTACATTGCTGAGCAGAGCAGTTGCCATCCCAGCCCGTTATGCACCCGGACAGTATGCTTTTAATGGTGCATCTGTAGAGGTTGGTGAGGGACATTCCAAATTTCCTGACCTGCTTGAAGAAGAAGAGGCATTGTTGTGCCTTCTTGACTGTCACATTTACGTGGGAAGTTCAGGATAGGTTGTCGATTATTGTCACCCCAAGGAACTTGCTGCTCTTCACCCTCAACCGCAGTTCCGTTGATGTAGATGGGGCCATGTTCTCCTCCTTTCTTTCTGAAGTCAATGATCAGTTCTTTAGTTTTGCCGACATTAGGAGATGGATTGTTTTCATTGCACCACGTCACCAAGCCCTCTATCTCCCTTCTGTATTTTGACTCATTGTTGTTAGATATCCGTCCCACTACGGTGGTGTCATCAGTGAACTTGTAGATGGCAACACAGTCATAGGTGTACAGGGAGTACAGTAGAGGGGCTGAGGATGCACCCTTGGGGGCTCCAGTGTCGAGTGTTATTGTGGATTCTTCATTGTTATTAATTGTTCTTCCACATGCATATCTATCAAGTCATGCAGATTCCATCACAGCCATTCTCTATGACTTTATTACTGTGGAGAGGCTTTGGCAAGTCAGGGGTAAGCTGCTTGTTGCAGAGTACTCTCTTTGCTCCTTTCTTAGCTAAGTAATTATAAGACTGATTTAGTGGAGTTTCTGGTCAGTCGTGAATCCTCGGATGTTGATAGAAGGAACGCTGCTATGGTAATAGCATTGAATAGCAAACAGAAGTGGTTAAAGAAATAATCTTATTGAAAATGATTTTTGCCTGACAACTGAACATAGAAATTTTACTGGCAATTAACCCAAGTCAAATGTTGTTTAGGCCATGGTACAAATAGGTATGAACTGATTCATTATCTGAGAAACTGCACTCAGATATGAATAGTGAGAATTATCAGTGAACTGGCCAACTTCTGATTTTGTGATGAAGGAAAAATTAAACGGCTCAAGATTATTGCCCTGAGGGATTCTGACAGTCCTGGGAGTGTGGGATGGGGGAGGTTGATGGTGTTCGTGATAACGTGACTACCTTCCAACACGTATGACCATTTTCCTCTATGTCAGGTTTAACTCCAGCCAATAGAGAGTTTTTTAAGTGACCACCAAGTGACTTCAGTTTTACTTGAGTTCCATGGAGTTATGGGCAGTCAAATGCTGCCCGATGATAAATGCAGTCACTTTAATATCACTTCTCAAAGGTCGTCTTTGTTTATGTTGATAAGGTTCTGATGAAGTCTGGAGGCAAAGTGCACCAGGTGAACACAAACTGAGCATCGGTGAGCAGGTTATTGATGCATGTTATTCAGTCAATTGTTGTTGATTCCTACCTTCACTTTGCTAATGATTGGCAGGACACTTATAGGACTATAATTGGCAGGGATTTGTCCTGCATTTTGTAGACAGGGCATATCTAGTCAATATTCCACATTACTGGTTAGTTGCCAGAGTTGTAACCGTACTGGAACAGCTTGGATAAGGACACCGTTAGCTCTAGTTTTAGTACTGCAACCGAAATAATGCTGAATGCATAGACTTTGTTGTACTTAGTACAGTCAGCTGTTTCTTGATGTAAGGTGGAAAAGCTCAAAACCGCTGAAGGCTGGATTCTCTGATGTTGAGTGGCTCACGAGGAAGTTGGAAAAGGTCATCTATTTGTTATTTCTGGCTGCAGATTGATAAATTGATTGCACAAGATTGCAACAAGTTTTTATTTGCAAAGTTTGTTATGTTGTTTTGCATAGTTTTGTTTGTGAAGTTATGGTTTGGCTGCAAACATATTGGCGGGGGTCAGAATGGATGACCAGTTGAAAAGCAAATAACTTGATGACAGACTATTTTATGATCTACTGAACTCCAAAAGGAACTTAACTAATTCTGGGGTTGAGAGAGTGTTAAAATTGAACCTTAACAGGACTGCAAAACAGATGACAGTTGATCAGTCATAAATTTCATACCACACAATACTTTATGGAGATGATGAAGAGATGAATTTTAACCTAGTGCATCTCGTAGGAAACTGACATGGTGGGATCTACAGTCCATTTTCTATCCTACCTGATATTAATTTGGATAGGGTACCAAAGCTGTGGCTACTCAATCCAGTCAGTTACATCAGTTGGGTGTATTTGGTTAAAGTTCCGTTCGCCTTCCCCATGGCCTACAGTGTCTCGTAGAATACGACAGTGTATTTTCACCATGGTTCTTTTGCAAATATGAAGGAGTATTTTGTGAATAGACAAAGCTGATGTTTACATGGAAAATGTGATCCATTGAGTATCGTGGTGTTGTTTGCTTTCTATTTGTGTTATTATATTCAGTATTTACAGTCATAAAATATTTGAACAAAATTACAATTTGCATTTTA